CGGACAGTTAGCTGGTGGATTCAACTTAGCGTTGAAGGCAGATAACAGTGATATACGACGAATGGAATATAACAATGGTGCCCCGATTGGGCAGCAAAAGCTGACTCGCTGTCAGGATGTATTTGGTATTCAGTATAATCGTCCTAGAACGTTTTCAACGGATTCCATTATGCAAGATGATTATCCATCATCCAGTTCTCAGCACATTACCAGAAGTCACAGTGTGGAGAACACACTGGACGACAGGGACACAAGGCAAACAGATATTTACAACTCTGGGTACACTACAGACTCGGCCATTAGGCCTTCCTCTGGCAGCAGCAGTAACAGGTACGTTCAGGGTCAGCGGAATTTCAGGGACGCTCAGTCTTCCAGCCCGGCTTCACGTACTACTAGTCGGTACCGTATTCCTGAAACTTCGGCTGATGCAAGTCCAAATCGACCTGACTCTTATAATGTGTCTCCTTACATGTACTCACAAGCATCTAAAAATCTTCCATCTGGTCAAGCCCAGCCGAGTCCAGCCATGGCGAACAAATCTATTGGTAAAGGTATAGAGTCTCAAATGGGTATTCCAAAATCTATTTCCTATGATGCTAGCATCAGAGATCTATCTGGGCCTAAAAGTCAGCAGAAGAGCTTGAACAATCTTACCATAGCAGGCAGCTCAAGGCCTCCTATGATAAACAACTTTGAGAAAAGTGATTCAGTCAGATATGCCGGCGATCAGACAGATGGTACCAGCAAATCTGAGGCCAATTTGACTGCTTCTCAAACCCCCCTTTTTATGCCCCCCATGAAAGAGTGCTTACAACACAATACTGTGGTGTCCCCGACAACCTCTCCCACCCCGCTTTATGTGGCAGGAAACAAAGAAGACAGCACCTGTAGCAGCAATCAGGATTCTGGCTATGGCAGCCGTAACCATGGTGGGGCCAAGGGGGGTGTGGACACTAGTGGGGGTACACCTAGTTCTTCCTTCAGCATGGAGAGGAGCGCTTGTAATACGCCCAGCAACACCGGCTCACCATACACAACGCAAGGGGAGGTAGGCAGTCAGGTGCTGCCCAAACTCATCAGTGACAGGCTCTCACAATCCTATGGCAGCCCGCAGCCTTATTCCTCCACAGCAATCCAGTACAATACAAGTTACACAGAGAACACTAAGTCGTTGAACTCATCTTATAAGGCCAGTGGCCCTGAAAGAGACGTGCCAGACAGTAGGCAAACATTGAACACAAACAACAATAATCCCATGTTGCCATTTAGAAATCAGTATGCGTACAGTCCGAACACCAGCAGCAGTCTTCCCAATAGAAATTCCCCTTATCCACAATCATCATCAGCACAGCAAAACATACCACGCAACCCCTCTGGTTTAGGTCAGGTGAACATGTATGATCGTAATGTTTTAGAAAGGGCTTCGGCTGTTGGGATCGCCAACTCAGCTCAGCAAGAAGCTCATAGGCTCATTGAGAGAAATTTTAAGGACATTCCAAGGTTGGATGCCAGTGGTCAAAGAGATTCACAATGTATTGAGATGAAAATCTTTCCAAAAAATCAGCAGAGCTCGGCAGTTATCCCAAATCTTACACCCCGAAGAGAATCTGTCCCATTCTCACCACCGCAAAAAAACTTTCAGGACTCTCAAATTAAATCTGTAAACAATTCCCTCAACCCAACTGACAGTGTTCCCCAAGCTGCAGTCCAGGCTCACATTGACGGTTGGTATCAAAGAAAGGTCATGGAAGCTGCTCAGAGACTCAGACAGAGCCAAAGTTACAATGAGTCGAGTTTGGAGGAAAGTCAGGAAGATATTTATAGCCCAGGTAGAAACGCTAATCGCAATATCTACAACGCCGACGCTCATGTGCGCCGGCCCAGTTACCAAGGCATCACAGACACTAGACACATCGTTAATCAAGATGACAGGCAGAAATTTTACCCTCAGCACTCTGACCATAGACAAACCAATTACCAGGCCACAGTGCCCCAAGCTCAACAGTCAAGTTCTCCTCAACCTCTGCATCAGGTAACATCTATGAGAAATAACACTGTGCCTAGGATGGCAAGCCCACAAACACCTTCAGCAACATATCACAGACAGCAATATTCTAGTCAAACTCCACAAGCTTCTTATCTCTATGAAAGTTCTGAGGCTAGAGGTAGTGGGTACAATAGCGGCCAGAGTTTTGTCAGAGATCAGGATAGTTTTTACTCTAACAACAGGAGACACAGTGTAGACAGGAGTGCCAACCAGCTGACCAATGCCTGCAACCAGACAATGCCACAGAAGAGAGTACCTGTGAGATATGACCCTGTACATGGTAGTGATGTGTAATAATTAAGTTTACATAGTTCACAGCTAGTTTATTTACTTCCATTTGATGTAATTTCATTTATTATTTCAAATTATATTTATATATATTCTTGATCATAACCACTTTGATAACATCAAGTTATTCAAAAGTTGAACCTTGATAATTCCAATAAACTTTAAAACAATGACAAATATGAGCAATGACAAACATCCTCTCATGTAAGAATTTGTAAAGGAAACCAGCTGATTTTTTTTTTGTGGAATTTAAAAAAAAAAAAAAAAATATTATAATTTCAATAAACTTTAAAACAATTACAAATATGATCAATGACAAACATCCTCTCATGTAAGAATTTGTAAAGGAAACCAGCTGATTTTTTTTTGTGGAATTTAAAAAAAAAAAAAAAAAATATTCACTTTATGCCCACCAACCAATGCATGACTGCATACGTAAATTAACTTTTTGGTGGAATTTCAATGTTTTTATGAATTTATAAAAATTGTGTTTTTTAAAAAACTATTTGAAAATACAAAATAGTTGAAAGAGCCTACATTTAGCAACAATAGATATGAAGAAAAATAAAGCATTATCAAACTTACTAAAACTCATAAACTATTCTTTTGTCCAATTAAAATTAACAAGGTTCAACTGAATTATATATCTTTTGTTATTTCACATTTCCAGTTGTTGTATTTCAAACTGACGTGTCCCCATTATGTTTGGATGAAACCATGTTTTATTTATTCCATAATTATTATTAAAAGCATTGTATTTATCACCTGTTCACTCCAAAACAAAAAATCCTGTAGTCTTATTGTAAATGATTGTTAAATAAATCTTTCAGAACGTTTTCGAAAATATTTCATGATTCCGAGCAATATTGATACGGTAATAAAAAAAAAAGGCAAATCTACTTTGAAGTCATCTTAACTTGAACAAATTTTCTGAAATTACCTTCTCCCTAATTTCAATTTTGACTTCTTTACAGTCAAAGACTTCTTTATGTGGAAGGGATTCAAAGACTTCTTTGCGTGGAAGTATTTGCCGAACATTCCAGCTTAATTATTTATTAAAATTAGTTCTTGTAAAATAATTGAATGGTCTTATTATATTTGTACATTTGTAATAAGTTTAAATGCCTTTTATAGAATATATTTGTTGAATTGAATTCCTGACAGATGGCAGCAGCTCTATTTGTATGTTAAGTATTAAAATGTCTATTAATTAAAACAGATGCTTGTAGAATAAGTTTTCTCTATTGTTATTGGCTTTTCTCAAAAACACTGAAAATGATTAAAAGTATTCAACCATTAAAAACAATCCTCATACCAGCCACTTTACTTTGCATCATTTGTAAACAAAATTATTTTATACCAAGAAATAAGAAATTCCATTTTTTTAAAAAGGGCCCATCATTAAGGTGCATAAAACCCAGCTATTAATGATTAGAAAGAATTTAAAAGACATCATTTAGTATCTTTGTAACATTCAGAGATGTTTAAGGAACTTCATGATTGAAATTAAAATTAATAATAGGCCTAGTTCATTGAATCAAAATGAACAAATAGGGAAACTGATGAGGTCAATATAGATGAAAAATAAAATTCCAGTAATTATGAAGATGCAACGATTAAAAAAAAACTTTCACTAGTTAAGATTCACATTTTAAGCTTTAATTTTTTTAATTTTATATTGGAGTAAAAAGAGAATAGGCACTGCACTGTTGTTGTTTTTTAAACTTCATTTCGGACATGTTGGTCATTTACTTTGATAATCATTGAACAACATTCCTCACACAACATTTCTCACACATGAGAAAAGTGACTTGTGACCTATTAGATTTACTGCTGCATTTTTACATTATGTTGTACCACTGCTGATCAAATCAATGTTGCAAACAATTCAGATGTGATGTTAGTCTACTTTGATAACAATAAAGTTGATTCAAAATCATGCCCTATCCTTAATGACCTGGTTTTGTGCATGGCTGAAGTTTATTGGTTTAAAAATAAAACCTCTGAAGCAGGTGAACCTCCTACCAGGAACAGCCAACTTGAGCCAGGTGCATCTGTACAGACATTTTTTTTTTTTGTTGTTAAATATAAATCCTTTTTTTTTTTTTAAAAGGTAACTAAAAATATGTTAAATACATTCAATGTGTTCATTAACCAAAACTAAGGGTAGATAACTCAGCTCGACACCTTAAGACATACTAAGTAACCACAATCACTTAATCTTCAAATAGTCTGCTTTTAGTAATAAAATGTGGGATTAAAACATTCTTTTGTTTGAAACTATTGAGAAAGTTGATATGAGTGCAATATGGCATATGTTTTCAATTGGGGAGGGGGGGGTGGCGGATTGAAGAGGAAGACATAACAGCACCTTTCATTAGAGATTTCATTTTTAGTATAACCTGGAATTCTTGCCTCATGAAAAATATCAAATGGTAAAATGGAATGAGCTAGCAGTTAGCATGAGGCTAAGATACAAAGAAATTATGAAACTTAAAAAACTTTAATTTAAATTTCTCATGAAACAATGTGTCTACAAAAAGAAAGGTAATTATCTCCAAATTTAAAAAAAGAATTACAACTGATTTAGAAATCGATAATTTGTACTTTAAAATTAATTTTTAGACAAACACAAACACTATAACAGAAAAATATAAGGGAAATATATTAGTTCAAATGCACTTTATTTGCATTAAATATTCTACAAGTTTTATATGTACAAGTCAACATAAAATATTAAAAATGTTGGTAACAATTTTGTAGGCCAATTGTATTTAAAAGCATACATTTCACCAGGCTAAATTTTTGAAAGACACTGCTTGGTCTTTTAGATTGTAATAATGGCACATACGGGCAGTAGTTTTTCAATAGAATTGAAACTTTTTATAGTACATCTTGCTGACCGAGCTAATCAACCTTTGAATACATTTCACACTCAAATGAAAGTCACTCATTCACATAAAACATAATTTTTTTTTTACTACAACTTCTGAATCAAAATGGCAGATGCTCCACCTCCACCATTACAGATACTTGCTACACCATATTCACCTGATTTCAGATGGTGTGCCAGGTGGCCAGTGATGCGGGCACCAGACATACTGTAAGTATAGCAAACAAAAAATGTATTCACTGTATTGAGTTATGTTTCAGATTCTTCAAAATAACCTGTTCATTCATCATTAGATCTACAAACACAAAACAAAAAATAGGAGACAATTAAAATTAATTGATTTGGCCGACTGAGCTGCAGTGGATTTCAGTAAGAAAAAACTTTATCATTATTTGGTTTCATAAAAATATGTAAGACATTTTCCTAACCATGCCTTCTTAAAAAACAGTACAATAAATAATAATTTTTTATTTTAACGGCGTAAAAATTTGATCACTTACCCAATAGGATGTCCAATGCTGACTGCCCCACCATGAACATTGACTTTGTTGATGTCCAGTTTGAGCATTTCAACATTGGCTAAAACAACAACACTGAAGGCTTCATTGATTTCCCACAAGGCAACATCCTCTTTCTTGACACCGCTATTCTCAAATAACTGCAAAATGCAATGGAAGGTTTCAAATTCTCTCTTAAAAAATTCCAATATTACCGTAGCTCATAAGAAATTTACACCCTAGCTAACTCTGCAGCTGGTCATGAAATACAAAAATTAATTTCAATATCATGCAGTGAAAGCATGTTTAAAAGAGATGAACAGTAGGCCAACAATTTGATCAAAAGACATATTTGAGGAAAATCTATGATGAGTTTTGATAAATACTGATCTATTGAATATTTATATTTTAAGATCACACCTTTGGAATGGCAAATGCTGGAGCTGTAGGGAAATCTATTGGATCAATGGCTGCATCAGCAAAGCCTAGAAGTCAGAAATATGTATTATATTAAATAGTAATGGCAGTAAAAAACAGAATAAAGTATCTACATATACAAGATAAGATAAGATTATTTTATTGAACCAAATATATGAAAATGTTTTTAAACATTGTACATATTCATTTTCAGCACATAAATAAATATATATTTTTAATCACAAGAACATAATACAATTATAAACACAAGACATCTAAAGTATTTCTCTAGCTTGGAAATCAGCCATCAATGAACTCCCTTAGTGACAATAATGACTTAATTTGTGATCATTTAGATTCCGTAACCACTGGAGGAGTAAGCTGTTAAATTCGCATAGACTAGGGAACATACTATTTTTTATACTAATTTTTATATCTTTCAGTCCTAACATTAAGAAAGAATTTGCCATGACTTAGCTGACTACCTGTGATGAAGAGGATAGGATGTATAGAAGGTGTTATTTTTAACTCGAAACTCTTCCACTCCAAAATAAATGTAGGAAGTAAAGTTAGTATTCCTCATTTTTCAAGTTTTAAAACAAAAAGATCAAATCCTTGATATCCTACTGACTGGTTTATTCTCATAAAGGAAAAAAGGCATTTCTATTGTCATTTGCATTGTGCAAGTTCTTACCAACAACTCTTGCTAAGGGTTTGGCCCCATATTTCTTGGCAGCTTCTGCTGTCATCAGAACAAGTGCGGCAGCTCCATCATTCAATGTGCTGGCATTGGCAGCTGTCACGGTGCCTGAAGGAAAAAACAACACTTTCTTCAACTATTTGAAAAGATATTTCAATGAAATGGATTAAAAATTTGAAATCAATCCTCTAATTGAGCAGAAAATACCAATTAATGAGTTAAATTAAACCCCAAATAATAAAATGAATCGAGCCTTTGGGGATGAAGCGTGTTTTTGAAATACACTTTATTATTATTATTATTGTTTGCTTGTTAAGCAAACAGTTTTGCATATAAAAATAACAGGGAGAACAGGAGCAATAACAAGGCAAGAGTCACTCTATCATTTAAAAACATGTGAGCTTTAACCTTATTACTTTGTTTAGTTAGTGGACTGGAAAATGCCCCGAGAAGCAAAAACACCACTAGAAGGTGAATGGGACTCACTAGCCTTAGATGGCAACTCATCTAAGAGAGGACAAACTCTGAAATCAAACCCAGAGGTGGAGTCCCAGAGATGAGTCCTGTAGGTATTATGGGACACACACGTTGCTGGTCATCTACTGCATCCTGGTCTATTTCCAGTTGTCTTGACTAAGTCTTGCCATTTTGTCAAGTAGACAAGGACAAGAGCATGAGGGTGACAAATTTAGCAACTCTCCTTCACTTGAAACAAAATAGGGCTTAATTCAAGGCTACTACTCAAGTAAAAAAATTGCACTGGTCATCTTCGCATGCGAAGGACCAAAAACAACAACACTGATGTCAAAAGAAATATGTCAAGGGAACTATTTCTTGTTTTTGTTTCAAGTCAATCAACTGACCATTTTCTTTTTGGAAGGCAGGTTTTAGGGTCTTAAATTTGCTGAAGTCAGTTTTCTTATACTCCTCATCCTCTGTCACTTTAATGGGATCGCCTGAAACCAAAATAATAACAACAGTGATCATCTCTGAATGCACTAAAACCGAAACATTTGATTCAATACTAATTTAAAACCACATATTGATAATCCCCGATATTATTAAGTTTTCAAATGTAATGAATTTCCCAACTCACGAAAATGTCTTAATAATTAATTTTTGGATAGGCTACCTTTTCTTTGGGGAACCTCGACCGAAATGATTTCTGAAGCAAAGACTCCATCTGCTGCTGACTTTTGACTAAGTTTGTAACTTCTCACAGCAAACTCATCCTGTGCTTCTCTGCTGATTTTGTATTTCTTTGCTGTGTTTTCAGCACAATTTCCCTACAATGACAAGATTTTAAAATTTTTTAAATTTAAATAATATGCAATAATCACATCTATGTTTAAAAAATCTTTAAATTTTTACACCTATTCAATTGCACACTTTTTAAATAAATACACACACTCCAGGATTTCATAAATAAACAAGAAGCTATGTTTCAAGAAGATAAAATTTCCCATGCATTCTAATGTACATTTCAGGTTGATGTTTTTTTCTTAAATACTAAAATGTCAAAGGGAGACAAGTAGTTCCATTTTTGCTTTTCCAAAATTAATGGTTAATCTATCATATTCAGTTGTTTGGATGTATCTCATATCCAAGTCATTTGTTTTATTTAAAAAATGTGCATTTTCAATCGAAATTCTGCTTTCAAAGTTTAGACTAAAATTATCCACAACATAAAAATGTTAAAGTCCACTGATCTAATCCAATGAAAGTCCAATGAAACCAGAATGAAAGTCTAATGAAACCAGATTGAAAGGTTTGGGACGCCAATAAAGTAAAGTATTTTACAAGAAATGGCAGAATAAAAATTTCTCAAATATTTATGTAAGTAAATTAGTATATGTAACAGTAAATTACGTAAAAACACTGGAAATATGTACCATATGAAATTTGTTGTATACATCTGTCAGTCCATCAAACACAATACCATCCTGTAGAGGAGAAAACCATTGATGTGTTAACTAAAATGAAGCAGAATTTGTATAGGCTTCTATGCAGATTAAAATTGACTATTGTTGGGAACTAATAACAACTAATGTTTGTTCCACAGCCGAGGAAATTGAATAATTTTTAAAAATTACAAAGTGTGATCAATCCATTTTGATATATTAATCTATATTGTATGCCCACTGAGGAAGGGGACAGGGTTTGGTCAGATTTAGGAGATTATATTTTAGCAGATATCCATACAGAGAAGAAGGGTCTCATCAAATGCATATATATTCAAGAATTTTGGACTATAATTTTTTTTTTAAAAGTGCCGACCAATACACCTACAGCAGCGGTTCTCAACCTGTGGGTCGTGACCCCTTTGGGGGTCGAACGACCCTTTCACAGGGGTCGCCTAAGACCATCGGAAAACACATGAAATCTAGTTATGAAGTAGCAACGAAAATAATTTTGTGTTTGGGGGTTGCCACTACAATGGGAACTGTATTAAAGGGTCGTGGCATTAGGAAGGTTGAGAACCACTGACCTACAGACATGCTTACTTCATTAATAATCCATATTTGGATAACTACCCCATGATGTAATGTTGCTTTTTGATAACGACTAATTCTTCAATATTGGTGTTGAGACCAGGACTTGCTTGAGAATGTTAATTTGTGTTGTTTTTTTTTAACATGAAAGCTCAAGCACATGTACAAATGAGTTTAAAATTAAAAATAAATATATTAATTCTCTATTATAGTTGAAATATTTATCATTATATATCAGGGATGATATCAAATAATTTTTTTTTTAAAAAAAGGAGAAATGTGAAAACAATAAATGTTTTGCTGATTACCAATTTATGAGTTTTTAAATGCTAATAACAACAAATCCTTCATTTATAAAATTATGATTTTTTGCTTATGTTGTATTTAGATGGTAATGAGGAAATGTCCCAGGCAAATGAGATGCATTTATTTATATTTAAATTTTCTTAAAAACTTGAAATGAGATTTAGGGTAGCTAAGATTATTGAGAGTCTGTTAGACATTATTTTTAAGCTAGACAAGAATCACATGCACATGGTTCTCTCTGCTAAAGAACACTCAGATAGCTTTTGTTAACTAACCTCTAGGTTGATCCCACCATATGGTAGATTTCCTCTCTTGAGATAAAATGGAACATTAGACATGCTCTCCATACCTCCAGCCACCATAACTTCCTGGAGATAAGAAACAAACATGAATGCTTCAGGAATTTCTGTCACATAATGGATATAGAGACATGAGGGATGCTGTCCCATAATGAATACAGAGACATGAGGAATGATGTCACATAATGGATAGAGACATGTCTTTTAAAAAAAGCCTCGATCCTACATTTTTACACTGTAGATGTCTTTTTAAATAAAAGACTAGATCCTACATATTTACACAGTTAACAATCAGGTTCAGACTTCAAGGTCCAGAATTCATAAACTTTTCACAAACCTTAAAAAAGACTTTTTTTTTTCTAATTCAAAGACCTATTTATTATCATACTCTAAAGTGTAAAAAAACAACTAATTATAGCATAGATATAAATTCTTTATCACATTAAAGTATACACACTATATATATATATATATATAAAAGCCAGCTCATCTTTTATTTTCTTGGAAAACTAACACAAAGTATGTAAAATCTTATATACATTTTATTCAGCTTAGTATTCAAAAGTAAGTTGTTGCTTGAATTAATAGTTGAAACATAGTAATCAGGTAAATCACTAGGCACAGACACAGTGATCATGATGAACTGCCAGGCACAGACAACTGGTAATGTCCTAGACAAAATATTCCACAATATCCTGGCGGACCAGTTGTGTCCTGCAGCTATGAAAAAAATGTGTTCAGCTTGATTTATTCTAACAGTCCCAATTCAATAGTTACATAAATAATATATCATTTAATACATTAAAAATATTTCACTTTTTTTTTTTTACTGTAAGCCTCCCTCTTTGTCATCAATAAGTTTTTGGAGGTTAAAAGCTTCTTTCTCCCTTTCTGGTGCCTTTTCCTAAATGCATTTGAAGCACAGAGAAAAGAGAAGTCCCTATAACTAGACTGGTTACATCTGTTTCCTGCACTTTATCTATCTCGTGTTTTTTGTTGTTTTTTACTCAAGTTTTTTTTCCTTTCTGCTTTTCCAGATACAAAGTGTATTTCATCCTAGCTGCTAGGCAAAATTCAACAACTCTTTGATTGGCTTAAAGAAATCTACTGACCTATCAACAAATTTCTTTCTTGCAAGGTTATGGATCATTAGAAATGAAAACATATTGGGTTTTTTTCTTTCATATTTTTTTTTTTTAATTTTCAAAGACCATGATTTTTTTGGTCAATTTTCGTAAACTTTCAGGACACTGGAATTTTTTATATATTTTTCCCAAACCTTCAAAGACTGTGCAAAACCTGCAGGTGCATTTTATAAAGTGTATATTAATAGTGAAGAGTTTAAAATGCTATATCACTAATCTATGAAGATCATGATAAAAATAAAAATTTACGAATTGATGAACTGACCTGGTGACCACACATGAGGCTTTGTGATGCCAACATAATGGCTTTCATGCCAGACGCACAAACTTTGTTGATTGTGGTTGTTGGGGTGGTAATGGGAAGACCTAAAAAATAAATAGTTATTGGATTTTTTATTTATTTCTATATAACAAAATTATTTAACTGCATTTTAAAAAAAAAACAAAGTTCAGAATACTTTTTTTAACATCTTTAAATGATAAGGTTAAATAATGTCACTTCACATTTTTTTAGGCAAACAAACTCTATTTTAGTCACACTTTTTGACATGCTACCAATATGAACTCTATTACTATTATTGTCAACAAAATATATTACAAGCTGAACAATTTTAAACTCACCAGCACCAAGAGTTGCTTGTCGGCTTGGGGCTTGACCTTGTCTTCCCTGAAGAACATTTCCCATGTACACCTCATTCACAACATCAGGCGCAATTCCTGCAAGATAGAAAGAATGTTATCAGTGTTTTGTCTTTGCAGAAATGAGGGTGAGGAGGGACACTTATAGTAAAGTTATTCATGTCAACATTTGTCAACTAAAATAATGTAAATAAAAAAACAAGTCATGACTTTATAGCCGACATAAATTCAGTGTTTAAATGGCATCAGCAAAGATGTTGATTTATTATCAAAATTTTAACAATAAAATCAGTAATCAACAAGATTACAATTATGGAAAGTAGGCTGTAGTGGCTATAACAATGAAATTATTAAATTTTTTTTAAACCCAACCTGCTTTTTGAACTGCTGCACTGATTGCTGCAGCTCCAAGTTTGGTGGCAGGGACAGATGACAAAGACCCAAGAAATGATCCTATGGGAGTTCGAACCGCACTAACAATGACTACCTCCTATAGAGTAAACAAAACACAACAAAATAATAATTTTCTCATCCATTATTTATTACATTACAATTGACTTTAAATGGTAAACATGGAATCTTACAGGAGGTGGGTCTGGTCTATTCACAAAACATATTTATGCTAAAAATGTTAAGCAAGAAGATTTAGAAGATAGATTTGAAAATCTTCCTCAATCTGAAAAATGCTTTATGCTTTTTTTGTAATGCATTGCAAATACTCTTTACTGAAATGACAGTTGACAATGTGTGTCACCCGAAGAAAAATAAGATTATTTATAACAGCAGTTTTTATACTGGTGAAGACTAAGCAAGTGCAAGGTGAATATTTTTTTTTTAAACCAAAAACAAAACAAAAACAGTATTTGTTGGTTGCAATGAAGAATAGTGTGTAATAATTGCTTAAACCAGAAATTTCTATTTACAATAACCAAAATAGTCTACTTTATGAGGCTGTGTTAAGTATTAGCAATTTGGTGACAGTATTTGATATTAAAACATTTAAAATTAAGCAAATATAGTTTTAAAAGAAATGTCTAGTCTACTCAGGTTAACAGTAAAATCTAACTAGAAATTAGAAAAAAAAAAAACTTGAGTAGGAAAGTCAAACGAAGGTGAGTTCATCTCATTTGTCTGCATGAACTCAAACCAAAATCTCAAGAGTTTCATGTGGATCAGTCTGAGCAGTTCAAATAAGAAAGATTTAATATGTAAACATAATCAATTCTGTTTTATTTAAGAAATTGAAAAACACAAACACACACACAACTAAAGAAGCACAAGATAAACAGTCAAACCAAATGTTTCAAATTATGCTTGAGGATAGAGAAAACTGCTGTTTCAAAGTGTATTACACAAATACTTATCAGATTTTATTATCTTTAGGACATCCCTTAAAAAATAAGATAATCAGTGCAGGAAAGCACTCAGGTCTGATAGTCTCATCACTAGGATTGAAAGAAAATAGATTATAGGAGTACTAAAGAGAGCTGGTTTACACATTTTCAGTGATGAATGATCTAAAGTCAACATGTTCCTAAAATGATGTTTTGACATGAAGAATTTTTAGGCCCAATTTTTAAGAAAATTTACATTACAAAAGATATGAAAAGAACTTGGCTCATTTGGTAAATAAAACTGATAATGAACATGAGCATTAATAAAAAACTAAAACAACTGAAAAGAATACCAACAAATATAATAAACTAAGAAATTAGAAACTTGATTATATTTTGAAAACTTAAAAAGATAGAAACATTGTTTTTATAACAAACTAAGATATTGCTTTTTATAGATATATGAATGTAATACAATAAATACTAGTGTTTTAAAAGCATGGCATCATTGTTTATTAAAAAGAGAATTACCAAAATTTTATATATACAAAAAAATAAAATATTTATGATATTCCACTTACAAATGACTGAATAAATCAGTTTTAATTAAGTTAATTGAGAAAAGTGTAAATAATTTCTATACCTTGGTTATTCAATAACCAACTTTTGATATCTGAGACATAATTTTAGATAGCATCACCTACTTTCAATCCTGATGCTGACGCATAGGACCGACTCATCAACAAGGACTTAACACTCTGGAACAAGAAATATTTATAATTTATATAATTTTTAGCAACCAATTACTATTTATCAACATGGTACCAAGACAAAACACTGGGTATCTTAATATAAGCTCATTTTCATTCGCTAATACTTAAAAAGGAAAATAGTTTAATCATATCACTGTAACAATAGTAGTGTGTTATTTAGAAGGTCAATATTGAATACATCATAAGAAAATTTGTATAATCTCTCCTCATAGAGCATCTTAATACTTCCAATTGAAAGAGAACAATTTTGTGTAAATTTTAAATTTCTTATAACAGTTATTTTATATACTTATTTTTTTATTTACCAGTAAAAAATTTCAACTTGTATTTATGAGTGTACTATTGGTCCATTACTGAACTCATGGGCTATTGACTATTGCTCAATAACTGACTATTATGAAGGAAAATACTAAATCAACAACTAAAAGTGAATGTAATCATCAATTTTGACTTATAAAGCAGTGAGACATTATATGCAATTATGTGAGTCCTCTAGTTTTTTATAACATTATTATTATCCATTTAAGTCTCTCTGCCATGGTGGACAGACTGACCACCTTGGCCATGAGCGGAAGTGGGGGGGGGGGGGTTGGGAGGAGAGATTACATACAACAACACATTAAGCATTTCCTGATCTACATCAATATAATCATTTTGCTAAACACAAGTGAAGTATTTTAATATAGACTTAATAAGCAGAATCTATGAAGAGCAGTTGGATGGAAAGGGTAAGGGATAAGTACGGAAGGGATGAGGGATAAGTGGGGAAGAGGGTGAGTGATAAGTGGGGAAAAGGGTAAGGGATAAGTGGGGAAAAGGGTGAGGGATAAGTGGGGAAGAGGGTGAGGGATAAATGGGGAAAAGGGTGAGGGATAAGTGGGGAAGAGGGTGAGGGATAAGTGGGGAAAAGGGTGAGGGATAAGTGGGGAAGAGGGTGAGGGATAAGTGGGAAAAGGGTGAGGGATGAGGGGGGAAAGGGTGAGGGATAAGTGGGGAAGGGGTGGGGAAAAGGGTGAGGGGTAAGGGGGGAAAAGGGTGAGGGAGAAGGGGGGAAGAGGGGGAGGGATAAAGGGGGAAAAGGGTGAGGGATAAGTGGGGAAGAGGGTGAGGGATAAGTGGGGAAAAGGGTGAGGGATAAGTGGGGAAGAGGGTGAGGGATAAGTGGGAAAAGGGTGAGGGATAAGTGGGGAAAGGGTGAGGGATAAGTGGGGAAGGGGTAATGGATAAGTGGGGAAGGGATAAGTGTTGAGTACATTTGATCAGAGAGTTGCTGGGGAATGGAGAACAATGTGATGAGAGAGTGGAGGTTTGAGGTGTGAGAGGGTGATAGTAGGAGGAAGTTTGTATGGAATTGGAGGGAAGGAGAGAGTTAAGAGGAAAACATCAAAATGTCTGTCTTCTTAACCAAATTTTTACTGCTGCCATAAGTCCTGTCCTTAATTGTTTTGTTTCTTTTTGGTGCCCTGAATGGTGGGTGTTTTTAATATTTAAAAAAAAGCTTACCAATCCTGTACCATTTATGTAATTTCAAGAACTTTAAAATTGCTACAAGAATTTAATTCATCAAATTCATGCATCATTTTTTTTTGTCCAATTTAAATTCAGTTAATTTTTTTCATAAAACTTCGGCCATCTTATTTTTACTATTATTATTAGTAGTAGTATAGCTATAACTAATAAATTAATTTCCTGAAATTATCACATTGAGTAGGCTATAATTCATTTATAATATATTATTATTTCGGTTAAAAACTAGAGTTGAGACTATGAACAATTCATGACAATTGAGAATTGAAATGAATAAAAATTTTTAAAATAATTCTAATCCATTCACGATAATTTTTCTTTTAAAATATTGTTAGTTATTCCTAGGCTTATTAATTGTGATGCTTAAAATTTTAAAATTTTAAATCTTCAGTTAACCTAGCTAGTTAACTTTAACTTTAACTTGAGTTAAAAGTTTAATGACACTGACATTCAGATGGTGAGTAGTTGATAAAATTATAATGAAATGAATGATCATGGGCTTATCAGTGCAGTAATTTGCTGTTGAGTTTAAGACAAGTGTAAAAATAGTTGTTCATTAAATAGCCTAACGATTAGCCTACAAATTCGTACAATGAATAATGACAATGAGGCATAGCTAAAGTATTTTAAAATAAAGTATAAGTAATGTCAGTAATGATAGGCCTACTGACCTACTGTACTGTTTACTAATTTACAGTACAGTACTCAGTACTTCAACAACAATAAATTTTAAATACAATCATCAATGATAATATTATATTTAATTTATATGATAATGAACATCATACTTCAAAATCATACAAAAATTGGCTATACTTAGTAGGCCTACCTATTAAAGTTAGAAATTAGTTAATTAGGCCGTAATTAGTAATAAGTTAAATTACATAATTAAAGTGGTAATTTTAGGTCTAGGCCTAGAAAGCCTAGCCTAGGTCTAGACTATTACTATTATTATTATTTATATTATTATATTTAAAAATTGTTTTTTTACATGTTACATAGTTAACATAGTCATAGTAATTTAATAGTACATTTTCCACAAAATAAAAACAACATAATTTGAACATACCTGAGAGGAAATCCTGAGGTACGACTGCATTATGATTGCTTATAATATTTAGCGAAGTTGCAGTTGCAAATGATATGACAGTAGTAGTAGCCTATACCGTACTTTACGCCAGTGTGTAGGTTGACGAAAGGTAGTTTTATCGAATGCGAGCTTTGTTAGAGGAATTGTAAAGCCACAAGGTCACAATGAAAACCAATCAAAATTTCATAAATGAAACACACCTCCAAAAGTATACCTAAAATCTACGAAACTATTCAATTTCGTTCCAGTGAACGTCTTTATTATTATCAACAAAATGTGTGAGGCCTAGTTGTCAATAATTGACCAACCATCAACCAATGATGAAATTGCTATAAATAATAATATCAACTTCTACAATTTTGAATTAGTGATACTATCGATGCTTATAATATTTTATTTATTAAGTAGGGCGTACATCTTTTACAAACTGGCTTTCGTTTCCTTTTTGATTTAGTCAAATTTAAGTAGGCCAAATGATAATAAAATGTAAAGATATGATATTGAAAATAAAAATCTTTCACTTTTTTTTTTTATACCGGTTAGTTATCGCGGGTTCAAAATCCGAAGTCCACGAGTTCAAAGTACATATTTATATAGACACTGATATCAAAATATCCCCCAGAAAATATTTTTTTAAACATGTAATATACCTATTTATAGATAGGCTTCAAAACTTAATTTAAAGATGTCGACTCCACCGACACATCTATAGTACTAGAGACTAGAGTAACATAATAAATGTTAATAATATAACTACATTAAATTACATTTTCTTTAGAAAGTTAAGAAAGTGGGCCACTTGAAATCTGTTTAAACTAGAAATGTATCTGCATAACTTATTAATTAAGAGGCGTGAACGTGTGTAAATAATCATTTTTTATATTTTTTTACAGGCTACGAGTTGTATTTATTAGGCCTATTTCTCATACTATTTGGCAACAGGACTTACGCTGAACCAAAGAATTCATGAACAAAATAAATTCTTTTATAAAGGGACATCTTGCGTTACTTATATCACATTTATATATTACTTCGCAATATTACTTGAAGTTGAAGTAAGGATGTCCTTTAAAAAAGAGTAATATTCTTTTCTACCAGTTAAAAACAAAACAAAAACGTTGCCCTCAGGGTGGGGTGGATTAAAAAATATCAGGATATTCACAATACAATCATTATACAATTTTATTTTTACTGCAGAATGTTGTAGGGGTTCAGGTAACAGAGAAGAAAATTAATAATATTCTTTAAAAAATGTGGCAACAGCCCCTAATTTGGAAACTTTTTTGCAGACAAGAGATCATGAAGGAAACGCCAATTATCTTAATAATAAAGAAGGAATCAACACAGCCAATAATTTTAATACCCTAGTCTTGCCAGTATTTCAGCTATTTTAATATAGACACTGGCGGGAAAGTTAGAGACGTGCAATGGATCCAGGCTATTTCTGGGCTAGAAATATTCGCTTGTTGCTCATTTCAATATTGCATTAAACTTTTAGAAGAGATGTTAACACAGCATGAAAAATAGAAATTCGTTTAGTGACTAACACCTTTCTGAAGCTAAGAAAAAAAACTAATCTCATTGTTTTTATAAAATTTTGCTCTGATAAGATGTTAACAATAAAAGGAGGAAAAACAATAGACAAATGTTTGTGATATAATATCTAATTTTATTTGAATTCAAAATGACTGATAATTAACCAATCTATTAATAATTTCATATGACGATTATAATCTCTGTTGAATAGTTGTAATATTTTTTTTTTTTTAAAAACGTAAAATTTGAAGGTTTGGTGGGTGGTTTGGGAGGCTTGCCTAAATATGAACATCAGATCTATATTTTATTTCTTTTTTTCAGATCTTTCTTAATTTTAACAACCATGCCTTTTAGGCTAAGTCTTTGAATAAAGCAGTTATTTATAATTGGAACACCAAAATTATTGTACCAAACTTTTTTAAAATATTTAAAAAATGACAGTTCTCAAAACAATTTTTAATGTGGCCTATTTTTAGCCCAAGATGTGAAATGTAATGTTAATCTATTTAAAGAGTAGCTATTTTTTTGTTTATTTAAATCTTTTTTTATTAAAATATTAGCTGGAAACAATGCTTAATAATACAAACAATGCTTAAACATAGATTTTCCAATTTAATGTATAGCATTTATATTTTGCACATGGTATTCATGGGTCATCCACTAAATGTTATTGTCACAACCTCTATTTCGTCAAACAATTCAAGTTCTATTTCAACTCGGTCATAAATAACTTACTACTAATACTGTATTAATAAAAATCATGTACAAAAACAACAACTGTTTTAACTTTTTTAAACCACAATTAACTAAACTACAAGGAGAGTTCATGCATGAAAAAATATTTGGAACATCAGTGGATGAATTAAGAACATATTAACAACTATGAGTCATTTAAAATGAGGTCAAGTCATCCTGAAAATTCCAGTGAATTATAAAGTTTAGTTTGTTGTAAAAGTACCGGTACACAAAAAAGATACCTGGTGACAGATCGGAATACACTTGCACACATCTGTCAATATTATGTCATATTTTGAATTGTTTGATGAAGGGCATCAAAAGACTGAATTTACACCATAGGAAACTTCTGTATAAATAATATTCTTGATTGCAAGATCAATAACAAAAATCATACAAAATAAAGAGTATTCCAAGACAAAATAAAGAGTATTCCAAGACAAAATAAAGAGTATTCCAAGACAAAATAAAGAGTATTCCAAGACAAAATAAAGAGTATTCCAAGACAAAATAAAGAGTATTCCAAGACAAAATAAAGAGTATTCCAAGACAAAATAAAGAGTATTCCAAGACAAAATAAAGAGTATTCCAAGACAAAATAAAGAGTATTCCAAGACAAAATAAAGAGTATTCCAAGACAAAATAAAGAGTATTCCAAGACAAAATAAAGAGTATTCCAAGACAAAATAAAGAGTATTCCAAGACAAAATAAATAGGTGGATCGGACCAGATCAGACATAAGGCAATATTATTTTCAGCATGGGCAGTAATATCAAATAATCTTTTAAACTCTTTGTAAAGTAACAACAACAAAAAAGAGAAGGAAAAAAAAAGGTGTCAAGGGCACATGTTTACATTCATAATATTTCTAAACAAAATGTTTTAAGTTAACAGAGTATTTCAAAGTTTAGTTTGACCTATCTAATATTCAATGGTCGATTAGTAGTTTAGTAGCAAGGTGATTTCCGTAAATACAAATGAAATGGTTTTTAATGAGATCAGAAGATTTAAAGGGTAGAATAAAGTTTCAACAAAAAAAAAGTCTTCAATCATCTTACTGATAGATTTAACAAACTGTTGAGTAACATATTTTCTTTATTAAAGTCTCACATCCGTGCATCACACACTGACACACGATATGACTTTAATGAATTAATCACACCAACAACTGGCCGATAAAATTGAAATGTCTCATGAAAGACAATGTCAATATTTATTTCTACATGAATGTGTGTAATTGCACTTTTCAAAATAAGTAAGTTTTTGACTTAGATCAGATAAAAAGATCTGTTTAAAAAAAAAAAAAAAAGCCACTTAATTTTAACTCATGCTTGATTTTGATAGTCACACTCAAGTCAACAAAATTGTAAAAATTAAAAACATCTCTACAAAGCAATAATTTAAAAAGAATGTAGGGCCCCTGAGTGCATTAAACTAGGAATGATAAAATAAAAATGATTTCAGACTGATTGAAGACTTGCACAGCCAATTTCTGTTCAAGGAGTAGAAACTTCTTTAGTTGGTACTAGTGCTTGTTTTTTATTGTGTTTGTACCTGAAATAAAAAGTACTGATATTCAGTTACTTCATTATTAACCTAAAGGCTAAGTTTGTGTTCTTTTATAATTGTTCATTAGTCATCACTAGATCCTTCACCCCCAGAGCACAAGATATCACACTACACCACAATAATTGATTTGACCTTGATCACTTTATGTTACCAAATAGTCAAATATGATATTCAAAAAAATAATTCTCCATTTGTTAGAAAACCAGTTTATAACGCATGATTTTCTAATTGTTAGTACCGGGTAACAACAGATTTAAAGTTATAAGGGAGATAAAGCTGGATTTTTAGTACATTTCATTGAATAATTGGGCAATGTAACTGAAAAGAAAATTTAATCAACTCTTGTTTCTATTTAATTAGGTACTACATTGACAACCTTTGCCCTATTTGTTCTTCTTCTATATATAAAGGGCCCATGATCAATTTATTGATCATTTTGGCTCCTATGCATGTAGAGGGGATTTGCAATGTTTCTGTGCCTGGTGCTGATGAGAATATTTCACTGGATGCAAGGGCTACTTTGTGAGGGTGTCGTACACTGGGGGTTGGAAGGCATGAGGCAATAGACGCAAATGTGTCAAGTATTGTCGCCTCAACTGTTCCCTTTGAAAGCTTGTTCCAGTCCCTAATTGTCTTTGGCAGGAATGAGCAGTTCCTATACTGGCTTCTCACTGGCATGAGCCGGAACTGCCTGTCATGGCCTCGTCGCTGTCTATGGGGGAAAGGGACGAGTTTCTGGAGCAGTGGACCAGCCTATTATTTATTTATAATGCTAAAGTTTTGATAATTTAAACACTTAAGGACAAATTAACATTCTTAATCCTCCAATAAATTAGGAATTCTTAATTGCCTGAACAGATTATTTGAAATGGAACATTTATTAACTTACATCTTACAAGTTTCATATAACATAACTACCAATTTAATCCACCAGGTACACTTTCTCTTTAGATCAAAATTGTATGTACTTACAGAAGGGCTCTTCCCAACTGAATAAATCCAGTTAATCCAACAAAAAGGTTTACTGTAAACAAGCTCAAATTTCTAGGTGTAATCACAAGGGAATATCGTGACCAAATTGTACCTGCAAATAAAAACATTTTTATTTACATTAGAGAGTTCCCATTTAGACTTCATATGTGAAAATTTTAGTTTTTAATATTGATTTGCATATGCTTAAACCTCACTCAATGTTGAAAAGTCATATACTCTAAAAACAAACAAGTAACAGACAATTTTGAAAGATGATTCCTGGAATAATCTTTAAGTTATGCTAAAATATGAAAAATTACATAAATATATGTGTATTCATGTAGTCATTTAAGATCTACCTGTTGCAGCTAGAGCTGATGATTGAGATATGCTGAGTTTCTCTGCAGGTCGGCTCAGATCTCCAATACCAGCAATTACTAAGGCCTGTTGAGAAATGTACAGAATTTTGTTACAAGTTGTAGGAAGAAAAGTGAAAACCAAAATTGAATTTAATTACACAATGAATTATTAGTAATATTAGTCTTTTTATTATTAAAGTATAAATAAGTTTACAATTAATGATCACACAATCATACCCATTTTGCTCCTGGGGCCCAGAAGTGAATAGTTTTAGGTCCTGAAAAAGAAAACTTACCATTAGGCATATAATTTTCTTCTAAATAAAGGAGGTTGAAGAAATAAGCCATAGAATTATATGAATTACTAGCTATTTCTAATTGTTATAGTATTTAACATTTGTTCTAAAATATAGAAATAAGATAATAAAATTAATAAGAAGGAAAATTCAAACGTTTATTATAAATTAAACTTACTTAAATAAATTTCCTAGCTTTAAAAAAAAATTAACAAAAATCAGCAAAATCATTATTGGAGACTTATTGACTAACGAGATGTCCTGTTTTTCACAATCGTCCCAAAAAAGTCTCTCGGGACGCCTAAATGCCCCATTTTTTTTAACCAAACACATTTTCTAATCACTAAAACTTCCTAATTTATAATATAAATTCAAATAATATTTTGGCTCGCGTGATGGCTGCACCGTTCCCTCTCCACCATAGAGTCCCTGCCATAGATCTTATTATATGTTAATGTATAGCGAAAGACACGAGACTTGAAGCCGCAGGGGGAGGAGGATGTAACTGTGCAGAAAACAATTTTGATTCTACGACCGCTACGTGTAATGTGTTAGTCTTATGTGTGATCCCTACCGGCCTGTTTGTTTTGGGTGTTGAACTTTATTCTTTAATTTTATATTATCTTCTCATGTAAACACAATAATATGCCCAAGCGTCAATGTATGGTTATGGATGAGTAGTCCAAAGAGTGGAACTACGGGTATATTAAAAAGGGACGCTATGAAAGTGAGGCCGAGTGCAGAGTTTGCAATACGAAATAATGTTTTTAGTGTTGGTCATGGTGGACGTTCAGACATAAAACAACACATCACATCAGTGAAACAAAGGAAAAGACTGAGTGCCCCAAATTTCTAGGTTAGATTTCATAGTTAAAATGAGCATATTTCAATTAACAGTTCCCAGCCGAGGCCCCCTGACCCTTCTTTAACTGGAGGGTATTCTCCCCCCTCCCCCAATCAACCGCCCAAAAAAACAACAACAAACAACAACCGTCCTTTTTCCAAATCATGATTTGGTCACCCTAGTGTATGGTCTTTTAAAAAAAACATAATATAATTATAATGATGTCTACACACAGACTGTTGAAAATATGTGGATGATGCACATAATAGCAAACTGAAAAGACAGTTGGCATGAGTTGGGCAAGCAAACTGCAATATTTTCCCTTCATATTTGCATGAGTTCATGTCCCGCAATCATTTTCGTGGAGATGATGTAAACAAGCATAATAGTATAAACATTCCCATTTATTTGGATAGATAAAAGAATTGTATCTAATCAATTCAACTCTACAACAACTTTCTGTCTACCAACAACTAGATACTTTGATGAAAGAAGGGAGACTACTATTTTTTTTGTATCGGAAATGGGCATCGGCGCCGAAAAATCCGAGTTTTTAATTTTCCGATGTGTGTGTCTATTTATTATTAAATTAGTTCTTTCCACATATATTTGAGTTCCGTTTCCAGCCTTATAATTTGGAAGACATCTTGGCCTACATTTCTAGCAAGCTATTTTGCTTTTTTCAATCGACCTTTATTTTGAAAATCTTTGGTATATATAAGGCATCTTCGCATACAAAATTTTTTGTGAAATAATAAGATAAGGTCCTTTTTTATTAAATCTGTATGAGCATTAGATATTGATCTATATCTGTGCCAAGTTTCATTGATGTAGGTCGTGTCCCACGTTTGTTACACTTGTCACAGTGACCCATATCACCATTAGGTGGCTCAGCCTAATTTCGACATGGCTTGGGCCACGCCCCCTTTTTAATGGCGGAAGTTGCCGATACTTAGGAAATATTTAATTATTACCACTATATACATCAAAATATTTTATATTTTGTGTTTCAGAATGCATTTTGAAGACATTTAAACTGGAAATGTTTTAATTTGAGCTTTAAAAACCCTGCAGAGTCCATAATATAAATGATCAGAATTTTCCGTGTGCAACACGTTGTCATTGGCAACCATTCACAGCCACTTGCATAACGGCTACATCGTAGTACTATCTCAGAGTTTCATTCATAAGAGTTTGCCGTGTGCAAAAGCTATTAAACCATTGGTCAGGGAAAGCTTTTATTAATTATTCATGTGCCAAAGTTGAAAGTTTAAAATAAGTCGACCCTAAACAGTATTTTAGTGATAAGGGAATGCATTGCCTTATATAAACTATATAGTCATTGCGCATGACGCGATCAGTGGAATGAGGTCACAGAATGTGGAGATGCAGTCCATGTTAAAAAATGACAAACCAAGTCGTACTTTAAAAATTCATAACTTTAAAACTACAACAGCTAAAAATATGATTTTGGTGTTATAATTATGTTTAAAATTAGCTCTATTCAACTGTGCCATTGGTTTATTTTTAAAAAATGTTTACATTTTTGACCAAAGTATCTACAACAACTCTGGGCTTGATTGTCAATATTCAGTTTCAATGTTCATGAGTCAAGAGAGTCAAACTAAGAAACTGTTAATAAGTAGCAATAACCTGCTGGGTGATGCCATAGTGACAGAAACTTTGTGGGTACGTGCCTATCACCAATGGCAACCAAAGTACGGTAAAGGGATGATAATAGAATCATCACGAAATTATATCAAATTTGTCAAATGTAAAATTATTTCAGCACAATCGCAGTTTCAAAACGCCTTTCCAAGGGCCAGAACCGGATATTACCTAGTTGACGGTGCAAGAATAATATTTTCGCTAAAGAAAAAATCCTATTTCAAACTACACACCTGAAAGTAAATAAATTAAGGAATATTAGTAGGTTTGCTCCTAAAATAAATATATTTAAATTATCTGAAAGTATTTAGAGACTTCCTTAACAAATAAAATAATTGGTAGCAATAAATAGTGAAAGATAAACTTAAATTATACTTTTAAACATTTATTTAAGTTTTAAGCAAAAAAGTAGACCCTATCTGCCTATCTATCTGTATCTGCCAATCTAAACTATAACTATTAGTCTATTGAGTAAGTGGATTTTATTGAAAAAATAGCCCACATTGCTATTATTATGTATCTTTTCAATAAAAAATGTATAAAAGCGTTTGGCGTATGATTACTTTGAGCGTTTTAATGATTATAAGTTAAACTAAAAAAAAATAATTTTTTTTTTAAACGAGGCTTTTCCTCTATTATATATTCTAAATTAAAAGTCAGACAAACCACCTATGATTTAAAAGAAATTCTCGAACAACCTACGCCTACGAATTGCTTGGCTAAGTCTCACAACCCTACATAAGTATAAAAAAAAATGTCTTTTAATAAGAATATTAATATCTCTATCATAATGTTAAAGTCAGTGGCTCTTTTGCTTTGATATAATTTAATACCAACCATCTCTTACGCCCCCTGAAATGCCAACGCCCCATGCACCACTAGGTTGAAAACCCTTAATTATTAAATTTTAAAAATGTTTTTAAGTATCATTAAAATACCGTGTATATAAAAATCTACTAACATACACACGCATAGCATGCCTATTTTTAATAATTGTGTATTTAAAAAATAGCCTAATACACAAATAAAACAATTTATTAATTTAGCTGAATACCCTTGTCAGAATGTCTGAATGATACGGTTACGGTACAGCGAACCAAATGATACAGTACAGCGAAACAAGAATAGACAAAATGTTATTTTAAAAAGTAGGTCAAATACGTTTCATACGTGCAATTGTAATAGATTAAGACCAGAAAAGTATGGTACACGTATTGAGTTAATTTTTTATTTTATAATTGCACTGCTTTGACCATACATTTTTAATTTGATTGGAATATTTCCAAATTATTTTAATTAAAAGTGAAATTCGAATGAATCGCAAGTAAATGTAATGTGAGCATCTTATAATTATTGTTTTTAAACATCAAGCTAAGTCAGACGGTGTAAACTTAAGTTATTTCCTACACTAATAGTATGCTACAGTATGTAGTTGTACATTGTTTACCAAAGGCAATAATAGCATTGTTTTTGCTCAACGTTTGAAATGGGGAGAAAGGTAATTGTTGCAGCATGTTCGCTCAACCAGTGGTCCATGGACTTTCTTGGGAACATGAAAAGAATTCTGGATAGTAAGTTATTTTTAAATATTTTATGACTATACAGTAAATACTACACTATACTTACTAGTATAGTGTATAGGCATAGGCTAATCATAATCATAATTTTTTGCCAGAACTCTACTCGCAACAAATTTTTTTGTCAGCTCCGCTCCGAGCTCCATGAAAATTAAAAAGGGAGGTGGAGGTAGTTGAGAACGGGGGTTTGCTAACAGTGTTTCTTTCAGGCATCTCTCCTCTCCTATTAATCCATCCCCTATTAATCCATCCCCTCCCCAAAACGTCTCTTATTTTCATCCATAATTAAATACCACCAATAGCCCACTTTGGTGCCCTGGCTTGCCTGGCGCAGGGAACATCTGTCTCCTCTGCCCCCTTAGCTAGCTTCTGGCCACCTGAAAATCTGACGACACCCCCCCCCCCCCCCCCCCCCCCCCCCCGAAGAAATCTTCTGAAAGAAACACCAGCTACTAGTGTTTAAAACCAGCAACAAAGCTGGTAGAAGAGTGGGGCAACATAGATAGCAGGTAGGAGAGTATGGCAATATAGCTATGCATGGCTGGTAGAAGAGTGGGGAAAACATTGCATATAAAATAGTGGGCAACAATAGTTTGTAGAAGAATAGGGCTTCACGTTTAAAAAATTAATTTTTTATAAAATAAAAAGTTCAAATTATATATAAAAAAATTTTAAAAATACATTTTGGAGCTTTTAGCTGTAAATAATTTTACCAGCTCCAGGCAAAAAGACCCTGCTCCAGAGCTCCAGCTCTGTTCCTAATCCCTGCAAATTAGGATTAATAATTTAATATATTAGTTCATTAATTAGTAGTCAACATCAAGGGACATGACAGCACAAATCTCATTGGACCAAGAAATCCAGAAAAGATGGTGTGGATGGATATATCATACCATGAAAAAACAAGACAAGCACTGGTAAGGAAGCCTCTATGATCAAAAGAACGAGGAAGATCCAAAAACACCTGGAGAAGAAATGTCCACAAAGATGTAGCAAAGGCTGGAAAGAGTTGGAAATAGTTAAAAAGGATAGCTAGAGACTGTAAGACTTGGAAGGAAATTATTAATGGCCCATGCTCCACTGGGAGTTGAAAAGGCAAAGAAAAAGAAATTAAATTAGTTACATGAGCCTAATTAGGCTAAATCATAAATGGCATCCTAAATTTTCAGGAAAGGGCTCTATAAAAGCATGTAAATTTAAGTACCTCTTAGGAACATATTGAATGAGCCTTTGGTTATTTGGATGTATTGCCCCATGCTCCTGAGACTTTAAAAAAAATTTTGTGGAATGCTTTAGTAGTCCCTGGTCTTGGTTATTAATAAAGACTGGAGTATATTTAAACAAACTTTTTATATTTCATTTTTTTTTAAAATAATAATATTGAAATGAATTGAGAGATTGAAAAAATAATATCATAGAATTGTCCTAGGTAATTAAGGGTATTTTTTAAATTTAAAAATATTTTGCTATGATTTGCCTAACCATCAATTATTTGTTCCTCCGACAAGTTTGCTGTAATGTCAGGTTCACATCTCATCAGTGTAAATCCTTCCAATTTGTTTCCAGATAAAGTTGATATAAAATTGACAAGTACCATTGTCTAATGTTGTCATGTTTGGTCTGTAAAATTCTTCATCCATATCCCCATTATTTTCATGATCATCATCTTTTCTATTTATTACATCTAGACAACTTACAGTGTTTTATGTAAGACCTTTCTTGAAATTGTAAAATTTAGAAGCAAAATCTTGAATTTCTTCACAAATTCTAGTTTCACAAAATTTTGTTGCCGAGAAATTCTAAGGTTTCATTCAAGACCCCGTCAAGATCATCCAAATTTCTCAAATCTCATGCCAAATCTTGCAGCTATCTTGCAGATTCTTGTAAATCTTATGTGAAAACTATACAACAGTGTTTTTAAAACCTGATTATTGACATTGGATCAAACAATAGTTCATCAGCTTCAATTTTCACTTTTCCTTTTCTATAGCACACAGGCCATGACTTGTTTCAACTTCAAAATCCTCTGGTTATTTGTCTAACTGGACAGTTGCCCCTCTTGTGAAATATTGTGTGGCTTTATTTGCACTTGATACTCTTGTGAAATATTATGCAATCTCTCCATTGTCTTTTCAGTCATATGGTTTGCAACAAAAAAAAACAAAACAAGCCCAATAGTTCAATCCACCACTTCTACTAGGCCTAAAGTGGCATTGCCATACATGTCCTAAGCTAAAACTACTTACAGAAAAACCTTGGATTGCAAGTAACTTGGTCAGATAGTGTTTTGCAAGATGAGCTAAAATTAAATTCTTTACTGAATAAATTTTAACTTGAAAAATGAATGTTGTCTTAGGGGCCATCCATAAATGACGTCACGCGTCTAGGGCTGGAGGGGGGTCAGATTTTTGTGACAATGTTTGATGAGGGGGAAGGGGGGGGGCTCAAGCCATGTGAAGTCATATGAAAAGCAGAATGTTGTAGTAAAGAATTTCACTTAATAACACTAAATTACAGACATTTTTCATATTATTAAAAAATCAAAAACAATTATAATTATTTTATTTTAAAACTACTATCAGTATCACTGAGAGAATCAGGTAGGAATGCGAGGTCCGAAGAATGGCCTCTGATCAAGTTACAGGATGCCCAGTAGTAGGAGAATCGGAATTTAGTTACAATGACAGTTGTGAGAATTTATGGCTGAATCTGAACAGGGGAAGTGGGCGTGTGATGGAGCGGGAAAAAGTGATTGACCGCGGGGTTGGGGTTATCTTAGTAAATGCTCTAGGGCAGGGATTCTTAACCTTTTTTGCAGCGTTGCAGGCCCACATCCTTCCCCAACCGTATAAAATACATTGTAATAAAATTTAAAATAATTAAATAATATAGTTATCATAGATTTTATTTCTTTAATTAACTTTTTATAAACGGGAAAAAAATACCAATACAAAAAATGTGCCAGTGAAATTCACCATTGACTGCTGCTAATCAAAATCCATAAAAACTTTCTTTTTTTTTTTTTTTTGAAGCAATTGCAGCAAATGGAATCAATGGCGTAGTTAGGGTTGGTGTCACCCGATCCGGTAAGCTCGTGGTGTCACCCCCTCCCCTTTTTACTCTTTTTATAAACGGGAAAAAAATACCAATACAAAAAATGTGCCAGTGAAATTCACCATTGACTGCTGCTAATCAAAATCCATAAAAACTTTCTTTTTTTTTTTTTTTTTGAAGCAATTGCAGCAAATGGAATCAATGGCGTAGTTAGGGTTGGTGTCACCCGATCCGGTAAGCTCGTGGTGTCACCCCCTCCCCTTTTTACGATGTATTTCTTCTTGTTAAACTTAGTACACAGTATAAGAAATACAAGAACAAAAACAAATTAATTGAAGGTCAGGGGGTAAATATATTTAAGAACTGCAACGTTCTTTGAATCGCCCATTGTTATCAAAGGATAGTTGTATTTATCAGAATTTAGATACAAATAACTTCCTGTCACTTACAAAAGTTACCGAATACTTAATTTGGCGTTGAAACATGGTCAAAATGGTGTGTTTCTGACTTAATAATATGGTCGATTAATTGCTGACGCATCA